TAGGATAGTGAAAAGGGGGTTGACTCCAATGTAGTCATTCTTAACGATGTGCATGTAGACATTATGGATTACATCAAGCCGGCGCAATGTACCGAGACGCAGTTCCGAACGATGTGGACCGAATTTGAATGGGAGAACAAGGTCAACATCAACTCCAAGGCAAAGACGTTGCGCGAATTCTTGAAGCAGCTCATGGCATGCACCAACATGAGCTGTCTGACGCCTGAAGCGTCGATGAAGGGCGACTGCCAGTTCTTGTCGGCCAACCTATACGCTAGAAGTGTCTTCGGTATGTCACTCGAGATTGTGTCTACTATGCAGCATGCTAACCAAGTATAGGCGAGGATGCTCTTGCCAATCTGAGTATAGAAAAGGAAGGTGACAACGGGCCTATCACAGGGTTTGTACGCATCCGAAGTAGATCACAGGGCCTGGCATTGAGCCTAGGATCGCTGAAGGGGTTGAACAAGGTTGGTGTGGCATGAGCAAGCGGGACCAAGGTGATGTGATGGGCAAGGTTACGATAATGCAGGCGCTGGTGTGGGACTTGGGCACAAATGCCAATATTAGAGACGCGTGCGCAAGAGGAAGGATAGGCCTGTTTGTGTGTCTTGTTTTGGTCACTTGAGCCTTTTGGGGGAGCATGGGATCCAAAAAAGTCATGAGGAGTGTATGGTAGTATCGTAGCATTCGAGTACGTAAGACATGAACCAGTACGTCGACTCTTGACACTGCAGCTTGAAGTTGTTGAAATTGCTGTTTCGAGTCTTGTGCATGTAACGGCCTCGGCACGGGCCAGAATCCAACGGCCATGTTTCCTTGTTGTTGGTTGCATGCGTGACGAACAAACATGAAATCACCCGACGGCATCCGCCAAGCCGTCGGAAGCGCGAACAGCTGAGGTGCACGCTGACTCTCGCTCCCCTCGCCAAACAAATCCAACCGTGCCCCTCGTGCTTGCCCACACGGTCAGCAGAATGCTGCTCCTGCTCTGCGAGTCCTTGCGATAACGATGACGACGACTGCGGCCCACGAGGATCCCTTTCAAGATCCCTTGGTCGCGACGCCGCAGGCTGCGAGCGAGGCGAATGAGCGCCCGAATACTGCACACTTGCCGGATACGCTTGCGGTCGGCCGGAATGCCTCACTGACCCTGGGGACGGATTCTCTGATAGTATTGGGTATGTCATGTGGCGAGGATGCATTCCCGGTCCAGTGGCCTTGTTTACTGACAAGTCGCACCAGACGAAGCGCTCCTGGACAGCAGAAGCAGCAGCAACTGCTGCGGCCTGTCTCTTGCTGGCAGTAAGCGCTCATGCCTTCCTTCACGTAACCCCTGCTCACACCGGCAGAGAACAAATCCACTCGCTCAATCCCCTTTCACAACATTCTCTGGGCCGAACACTCCGAAGACGGCCAAGTCACCATTCAGTATGCGCAGACGATATCGGCCAAGTCGGTACGGCCGGCCATTATCAGCTACACACTCGACAAGCCCGATGGCCAGCTCTCAGAGGCTTGGATAGAAAGGCTGCTGGACCGCGCATATGGCGCATCGCAGCGGCGCAAGCGCGTCAAGGTGCTCATCAACCCATTTGGGGGACAGGGCGGCGCACTGAAGATGTACCACAAATCAATCGCGCCCATTTTTGCGGCGGCGCGATGTGAACTGGACGTTGAGAAGACGCAGCATAATGGGCATGGCGTGGAGATTGCCCAAGACTTGGATATCGAGGCATATGACGTTGTCGCATGCGCCTCGGGAGACGGCATACCACATGAAGTCTGGAATGGCTTGGGGAAAAGACCAGATGCTGCGCGAGCGCTGGTCAAGATCGCCGTGGCCCAGCTCCCCTGTGGCTCAGGCAACGCCTTGAGCCTGAACCTCAACGGAACCGACGATCCCAGTCTCGCCGCCCTCGCCGTTGTCAAAGGCCTTCGCACACCTCTCGACCTAGCCTCCATAACCCAAGGCGACCGCCGCTACCTCTCCTTTCTCTCTCAATCCGTCGGTATCGTCGCGGAAACAGATCTCGCGACCGAACACCTCCGCTGGATGGGCAGCGCGCGCTTCACCTGGGGTTTCCTCGTGCGTCTCCTGTCCAAGACCATCTATCCAGCCGACATCGCCGTCAAAGTCGAGCACGCCAACAAATCCGCTGTCCGCGACGCCTACCGCCTCGAAGCCTCAAAGCCACCTCGGGACACAGATGACCGTTCCATCCCCACTATTGATGCCGGTCTTCCGGACCTCAAATATGGAACCATCAACGATGCCTTACCATCAGACTGGGAATTAGTACCGCACCCCCATCTCGGCAACTTCTACGCCGGAAACCTATCCTACATGTCTCCCGACGCAAACTTTTTTCCCGCTGCCCTGCCCTCCGATGGCTGTCTCGATCTCGTCCGCATTCGCGGCGATATTGCCCGCCACACTGCTATCCAGACTTTGCTCAGTGTCGAGAACAACACCTTTTTCGATCTGCCGCATGTGGATTACCAGAAAGTCGCTGCGTACAGAATTATACCGCACAAGAGGGATGGCAAAGAGGGGTATATCAGTATTGATGGGGAGAGGGTGCCGTTTGAGGGGTTTCAGGTCGAGGTGCACAAGGGGCTGGGGACAGTGTTGAGTAAAGGGGGGAGAGTGTGTGAGGCGGTGGGTGTTTAAAAAGACGAGTTTGGCGAAGGTTGACGATGAGGTGGGAGTTGAATTGTGAATGAAGGTGCTGTGATGTGAAGCTACCTTCGGGGAGTCGAAGACGAAGACAATGAAGAAGAAGAAGACTACTTGGCAACCGGCGTTCTTGGGCTTTTTTGTTCAATGCGTATACCATCCGTTTTTCTCTAGACCTACGCAACAGCTAATTCCCGTCCGCGACGTTTTTTCGATTTGGAAATAGACCATTATATCTTACTTCTTCGCGGCTTTGCTACCTGTTGAATGCACAACAAAAACATTATGCGTCCTTACTTTCCCTGCATCGATCACGCTAACTAGCCGCGCGTGAAATGGATCCCCTGTCGTTCTAAGCGCTCTCGGTGTAGAAGCGCCTCGTGGCATAGCCCAGGCAGCCACGAATGGCACTCATCTTAAAGAATGACTGGCACACTCGCCTTGAACAGATATTGTGCGCCGAGTTCAGAACCTGAACACAATGCTCATATCCCATCTTCCGTTGGAATTACTCCATGAAATCCTCTACCACGCCGTTCAAGTGCGAGGACTCAGGCGCGGCCTTCAACTACGGCTCGTCAATCGTAGGTTCCAAGCAAAACACCAAGATGTACTCGCGTATCCTAATGTCATGGCAGGTCTGTTTTCTCGAGAAGTACTCAAGTCGCTATTCATAAACCGTTGTGTCGAGCAGCGTTTGTACGAAGTCCAGAAGACGCACTGTCCTTTCAATACTCTTGACAGGATTCCGCTACCGTTTTTTGCGGCAGATTATCTGGAATGCCGAATCATATCTGAAAGCAAGAACGGCAATCCGGCTTTAGTCCGGATATGCAATGTCGCCGAGCGACTGGCACAGGAGGCGGCCGATGGACGGAGTGTCCGAGAATATGTTCATGAACTGTGTCCCTATATTCTAGACAATGAAAATTCCGATGTTTGGAGAACGGAAAGATTCCATGGGTACGATGCCAGCTCACTAGACAACTGTGTCTTCACCGCTGCCCTGTGCATACATACCACACCAGTCATCGAGAGATGGATCGCAGAAAAGAGGGAGATATGGTCAGTATCTAGTTATTTCTTTGGATCCGCGAGCGTGCTTGCGGCCAAGAGCGGGAATCACAAACTTCTAGCAGCCATGATGGTTGCCGATCCCGGCAATGTCCAGAGGTTTCACAAAGACCGATATCATGTACTCTACTTCGTAGCGCAATATGGAGACTTGGAAGCCGCACGATTCGTCTACTACTACGAGGTTGAAAAGTACCCGTGGAACATCTACGACAGGGTTTCGAAACCTGAATACCGCCGCTCAGAGCGAACACTCTGCGAAATAGAGCCTTCGGATCCAGAGATCTTCGACTTCCTACAGGAGAAGCGCAAGATACATGATGTGTTCGGTCAATTCGGACCCTTTCGTTACGAAAGGTTTCTCCGCTACAGCTCGAGAAGAGGATGGACAGCCATGGCAGCTCGCTATCTCGAACTGGGCGCACATGTTGGTGGCACATGCCCCCCGGATGAACAGCAGCCGTTTCTCTGTGCAGTCTCGCGAGGTGACGAGCATATTGTGCGCCTTTTCCTGTGGCATGGCATGAAAGTTCAAAGCTACCCCAAGCCCATGGAGCAGGCGGCCGATCGCGGATACCACGCAATTGTCCAAATTCTGTTACATCATAATGCAGAACCTGGCGATGCAGTGTACTATGCTGCGAGAAGGGGCCATTGGGACGTGGTGCTTGAAATGATCCGGCATGGAGTTGTCAAGCAAGCGGATCTTCAACGCTGTTTGGTTTATACAGTACATTTCGAACACAAGGCGATGTTTCGGCTCTTGTTGGATTACGGTGCTCGAGTGAGCAACGAAACAACCTTGAAGGAGTGTCTGGACGCGGGGAGAGCGGAGGGACTGGAATCGATGCTAGACCTTATAGCTGAGACTGGTGAGTTTGCTGCAAAATAGTAACAGCTCAAACGGTACTGACTTTATACAGAAAGGCTTGAAAAGGAAGGAAAGCGCTTATCTAGAAAACTAGAATGAACATTACTTTGATAAAGGATCGAGCAAGATATGCTACCCGTGGGTTCGAAAGTTCCACTCCTATCCTCTCGCTCCCTCGAACTCTCAACTCCCTTTAATAAGAGTCTTTCCAAGATATTTCCAACTTTTTGTCCATGAGTCACACTCCCAAAATTATCTGCCGTCGACTTTTACACGCCGCCCCACATCGTCACGTCCTCATTCGTCCACCCCATCACTTCTAAGCAAGTACATCTATACTCTGACTATCAGATACGCTTCATCAACGTAACAACAAGCTTTCTGGCGCAGTGGAAGCGCGCCGGGCTCATAACCCGGGTTCGTAGTCCTCTTGAGCACTGTAGAAATAAATGAAAGACTAATATTAAGCAGAGGACACAAGATCGAAACTTGTGAAAGCTACATGTTTCTTTTTTCCCTTTTGCGGTCAATGCAACACTTTATTCTGTCTTTGTAGTCATGTAAATTCGTATGCATGTTGGTTCTGTTTAAGCTACTATGCACGCCACTAATAATGCCAGGCTTATACACAATAAGTACCTCTTGATAGCAGCGACTATTGTGGACGTTGAGGTACACATGAAATATAGATTCTTACGAAAGCTAGCTATGACTTTACAATCTCTAAATCTCCTTGGGATCTTTTTCTATAAATAGTATATGATTTCGCGCCATCACTTTCTACAAGAACCCTAGCTCCTCAAGAGCGGCAAGGTATGTCCCATTCGCATGCACATCAGATATACAACCCCCTTGCAAGAGCGTAACAGAAGATGCTCTTGTTGCAGAAGTTGAGTATATTGACGGTGAGTAGCACAACAACGGAGGGGAGGGTTGAGTATGTGTGGGCATCTTGCAGTTTGGGAACGGGCAGGTCGTGAGAGTCTTTGTATCTGGGATGCGGAGTGGTTCTGATCGTGCCGGAACCAAGGGGTTCCTGAGCCATCTTGATCCCATCTGAGATGAATGCCGATAGCGTCGTGCCTTGAACGTATCGATGGCAGAGCGCCGCTGGGGTGTGGATTGAAAGGGAAAGCGCAGATTGGAACGCGATGCAAGTACTAGAGATTGTTAGTATTCACATTCGATGCACATCCTATAAAGGCGCTCTCTGTCTACCTGGTCTCGTCACTCTCTCGTATTTTGGTAACAGTCCCGTCTGCATGTCGCGCTTACGGCGCTGGTGCATCCAAACAATGCGGTATATTAAAGCGGAAGTAAGAAGAGCCAGCGCAAGCGATCCGAGCACTAATCCCAGAACAAGCTTCTTCCAGTGCACGACTTCCGCACGGGGTATATTATCGAGGTTTGACGCGTCCGACGCATAGGAGCTTCGCCTGGAAATGTGTGAATCACAAGGCGAGCAGGGTACGGTAGAACTGATGGTAGCATTCATGTCGAGGAGAATTTCTGGGAATCACGCAAGTGCATCCGAGGACATGATTGCGGGCGAGCGTATACGAAGCCGTCTTACAATGTTTCGAGATATCATATAAACACCCCAATCGATTTTTGCAGCTTCTCTAAAAGTGCCTTACATTGACCACCAACTCGTCTCGGCCAAACTGTCTCGGTGAAATCTTGCATATCTGTGGCGTAGAGTTTGCTAGTAAGATGTTGGGAGCTTTGCTCTGCCTCGACGACTGTGGGGCAAGGTCGCAGGAAGCGCAGAGTACGAGCACAGCCTTGCCACGCCGCAATCTATCTCAACTTGCGCCCCCGTCACATTAGGCTTTGCCGCAAGTGGCCCTTGGCGGCGACGGCTGTGAAACGACTCTTGGTAGTGTGTGATGTCACGCGCGGAAAACAGTGGGTTGCTCTCAAATCGACCGGGCGCGTAAGTTGGGAGCAGGAGCACGATTCGCCGGTAACGTAGCGAAGTCACGGAGCGACCCTCGGATATTCTGGTCGCAACGAGGCATACAGCTGTGCCTCGATTTTGAAACTGAAGAGGTGGAGTTAGCAGCAGTCAGCTACTAGGTGTATCATCAACGCTCCATGAACTCACACTCCTCGACATGTAAATTCGACCACTCATGATCCCCATGCATTTACTTAACTTACCTATAGAGTTACTCCAGAAAACTCTCATCTATTCTGTAAATGTACGGGAACTGAAGCGTGGCCTTCGGCTACGCCTGGTCAATCGGCCGGTGCCTCAGACTAGCCGATTGTTTGGCTCTGTGAAGGTAGAAACCGCCAAGCAAGGCAATCGTCAAGTTCTCGCGGCGCTCATGAACCAGCCTTCCGTCGACGTATTTCATTCCGTTCGACACAGCTTGGGCTCTTTGCGCATGACCTGTAAATTTAATGAGAAGGCCAATCCCGGCGAAGCCGACAATAACAAGGCCGAATGATGCGATAAAGGCAATGCCTAGTTGTCTGTACAGCATCCAGGCAGCAAGTGCGACCTGTATCAGACATGCCCAAAGCTCGTGTATCGTCCTGAAGCCCATCCGAATGCGCTCCAGGTCGGTGCTCATCAAAGTCAACGCGGCATTCCTATCTGCCACTCCAGTACGCGCAATGGTGACCTTCCTGAATCATTCTGGGACCAGTATGGATCGTATCATGGTGCGCAGACGGTGATGAAAGTACCAAGTAAGGGCTGCGGAGATCGCAACGCCCGGGTAGATCAGAAAGCTCGCTCCTATCAATTCGTACCTGACGTTGGGGTCTAGTGTAGGCTTGTCGAGATAGTCCAACAACGCCTCAATAAAGAACGGCTGGCAAAAGGTAAAACCAAGGAGGGCCAGGCGCGGGACGATCGGTAGTAGTAGGAGCACCTTAAAGTGTGCGCGCGAGAACCTTAGCCAGACCAAAATTGTCACCCTGAAGCCTAGCATAGTCCAGATTCCGAGCGAATTTGGCATAGAGAGCTTCAGTGTTCAGGGAGTTGTCCAGCGGCAAAAGGGTCTCTATTGTTAACACGGTCCGGTAACCCGCCAGAATAGCTGATTCGGCCAAAAGAAGACTCCAAGGGAGAATATGTCACTTATTTCTTCTGGGATATGCTCTTTCTCTTCGTTCCGGCGCACTGAGCTGGCCTTGTGCCGGGCTTCCAATACCAAGACGATTCCCTTCAGAGCCACAGTAGTGCAGAAGATGGCGCTACAAACGCGCTGCGGGTGGCTATTCGAGACAAGAAATAGTGTTCTGGCTTGTGCCGCATCTAATAGTGAAGTCAGGCATAGGTAAATGGTCAGCAATGTCGATGGCCGCGGGCTTCGGCTGTGCTCGATCGTACTGAGCGCTACGATGAGCAGTGATGCGACGAGCCTGAAAGCGGTGGCTGCTATGAACATGGTAGACACATGTACGTATGCGGCTGCTGGGAGAATAGTCAAGATAAGCGCCAGGCAAATGTAGAGCAGTATTGCACTCTACAAGACAGGTCAGCATGTTTCATTCGATGAGAGGGATTCATACGCACCAGTTTGATATACGAGAACGCATGTGAATACACCATCTTCGGCTTGCGTGCTTGGAAATGCGTGCGCCATAACGATGCGATAATGAATAGCGCTGATGGAATGATAGAGAAGTAGAGTTGCTCGAATTGGAGATTAGAGTCAAAGCGCTTGCTGTCTAGTTAAAGTAATACGTTCTCTCCTCCGATGAAAGGCATGATGGGGGACGATGTGACAGGCGCCGCAGTTCCGCTTAAGTTTAGAAAAGAGATGTATGGGTACGACTTCCACACGCGTTACTTGAGTGCTGGATCCGAGGTAGACCAGATACATATCAGCCCCTGGATGGGCAAGATAGAATTCCGGCGTTCGGTCAGCCAACATGTTGACACCGTAAGCCCTCGCGAGCCCTTTTTACTATGTCGCCATGGGAGTCGCCTCATCAGCTCGTTTCATGCGGAGTAGTTGCCTACTCAGGTCATGTAGCATAGTACTCTTTCGTAAACCTTGCAAGTCGCATGGCTCTCCAAAGGCGCGGAGATGGAAGCGGCGTCAACCGGCGTCAGTGCTGAGCTTCAAGCAACCAACAAGGCCGGTAACCAACGGAAATCGCGCACGAGAAAGCGAGTGCCGAAGGAATGGATCCTTACTATTGCGGATGGATGGTGTTCACTTAACGATCTTAAAGGAGTTCAGGGCACGCAGTGATGGGACCAAGCGATGAGGATACGACAGCCCCTGGAAAATTGACCCATTCAAACAGTATGCAAATTGGAATATAAAATGACTCGCTTCTTCAACGCCAGAAATACAGCGTCAAGATTAGTCGCTTCATTCGGTTTGGGCGTAGTATAAGCGTAGACTTGCTCCTGATCTGGCAAAACTTCTTTACAACTACTTGTACATCAGGAATTTTCTAGGCAGTGACAGGGCGAACGAGGTATGGGAGAAAATGCTTATGTGCGGGAAACCAGTGCGCCAACCCGCGCAAAGTCAAGCATACACTACCATAGTCTTAACATCAAGAAGTCATGCATGTACGGCAATCAAGGTCGGGCACAGCCGCTCCCTAACAGACCGCTCGCTTGCCATCTTAGCATGATTCTCCCTCCACCTTCACTTCCTTTATGATACTAAGCCTCTTTCATCGGTTCTTATCTTCGTCCTTCCCCGGCCACACAATCTCTTTCTTCCAGACAGCCCTTACACATTCCATCGCCGCAAGCCCCCAAACCGCGACCAAAATCACCGTCATCACGCTCGCAACCCATAAGATTCCCTCGCTCTCTAATTCCCTCCCAATCATACTGGTTGAAAGCATGAACCCCACATTCGGAAAGATGAAAGCCCACCAACTTAGCGAAAACGGCATCTTCCCTACTACTACAATGTTACCCAGTACTGCGAGCGCAAAGAGCCAGAATCCAAAGAGCCAGAGGAATATTCCTGCAAAGAGTGCTAACACCCGTAAAACTACCACTGCCTCAGGATGTCTCGCTAAATATCCTATCGTCAAAGAATCGTCGGGCAATGCGTTCGCCAACCCAATCAGCGCGACGACGGTATACGCACAACTCCCCACCGGAATGAACATAGCCGGCCTCATTCCCGGTGGTGGCAGACCTTGATCTAAGAGATTGCGAAGACAGGATACGATTGCGATGAAAGAGATGCACCATCCCAACCCCTGATACGCAATTCCACTAACTACAATCGCCATTCTTCTCTCCACCGGCTGTGATGCCGCAATCAAACTCGCAATAGTACCTGTCAACATTGCCGAGTAGCCTGCGAGAAAGACACTGGGTAAGTAAGGTACCGGCCGCACGACGCTGCGGGAGATGAGGATCCAGTACTGAAATATCGAGTTGAGCAGGGAGATGCCGGCATACATCCAGTATAGAATGTGGACGGTAGTGAGAAGCCATGGGTAGCCAGGACCGTGGATGACGCCGTAGGATTGAATGCCTCCGACTATAACGCTCAGCGAAA